CTATCGACACCGTTAGTCACAGATACCCGTACTGTATAGTGTGGACTCCCATCCCATTCATCACATGGTTGGTGCCAGTGATCGGTCATATGGGCATCTGTACGGCCAATGGTGTGGTCCGGGACTTCGCCGGACCTTATTATGTGTCTCAGGACGACATGGCTTTCGGATGGCCCACCAAATACTGGCAGTTGAGTCCACACCTGGTCTCCAGTGGACACCATTGGGACGATAGTGTCAAACAGGCTTCCGATGAGTACATGACAAGAATGGTAAGCATATGCCGCCCAACGATACCACTTGTAATGATACCAATGATACCAATGATAATGAATTGTGTGATGTCTTCAGCACAAGTTATGCTGTGATAACTGTCACTCACACGTGTCAATGGCGCTCAACCTCATGAGATATAACGGCAAAAGTAATTACAATATGGTGTCCACATTCTTCCTCTTCACCATTCACTCCAAATACATCGGGTATTCACGCAATGCATACATCTCTTTGACTCGTTATCATTGAAATGCTCTTATCTTTCGTATAGTTTGTGGTCATTCCTCAAGACTTGGATCCCTTTCGTTGTCTTCATTTTAATAATTATTCTTTTGATTGTATTTTTGTAGTGAATTTACTGTATATTTATTTATTTGAGATTAGTTTTATTGTTTACTTTAAATAATTTATTTCGCAAACCACTTGTCATTGAATTTGTTTTTCCCATCATTTTTATCGAGACAACAAAACGTGTAAAATGTGTATAAAATGTATTTGAATGTAAATCAGATCCCATTTGATATCATTAGTAAAAGAAACACTTAATTTATGTGATCATTGTTTAGATGTTTGTATAAAATATTTCATTTCTTTAAGTGTGGAAAACCTTACAATTAAATCACTAAACAATTTAATCATTATTTGACGTCGAAGTCGACGAATTTCTTGAGCCGATTCAAGTACTCCTCGAAGGTGTAGAGGTTGTCGTGACCGCCGCCCTCCACCCATAGTGGAGGCGCCGGGTTTTTGCACAGTTTGTGTAGTCTCTGTGCGTGAGCTATGGGCACGATTTGGTCCCGAGTTCCGTGTATTATCAGGATTTTCGTTTCAATGTCACCGATGTTATCGACACTTTGGATCAGATAAACACATTTGTAATCAATTCATTTGGTTGTAGTGATTTCGTATGACTTACTTAGTGAAGGAGTCATAAAATCGTGAGGAACTGCTGTCTCCATGCATTGCCGGTAAGAATATTCTGGCAATCGATAGGAAGGGTGAGTGAAGTATCACTCCCTTAACCGTATGTTTTTTGGCTAAGAAAACACTGGCGGCTGTGCCGAGACTCTGGCCATAGAGTACAACCTTATCGGCCGACACGCCATACTTAGTGGTGAGCGCCTCCCAGGCCGACTCGGCGTCTCCGTAAACATTCTTCTCAGTCGGCTTACCAGTGCTCTCACCAAAGCCCGAGTAGTCGTAACTAAATATATTACAATTCAACCGATTGGCTAACGTGTAGAAAAAGTTGCACACGTTGCCCAAGTCGACTGTCCCCCCGTGGCTGAACAGTATCGTGTATTTGGGATTCTCGAAGGCCTTCACGTAAAGACAGGCTATTCTGTTGCCGCTCTTGGAGTCGACGAAAAAGGCCTCAAACTTTTCGGGATACCGGTGACAGTGAAACCATTCGGTGCCGTGTTTGAGGCGAATCGCGTACCGACTCGACACGTCGTCGCACTCGTATGTATAGGACTTGCGGGGCAGAGGCGGCATAAACTGCACGAACACCTGGTTTATCACATCTTTCAATGCGCTCAACATTTTCAATATATTTCTATGAATATTCAAATTATATACAATTTATAAACACTTAATATAACTTAATATAACTTTTATGGTTTAGATATCGACTGATATTTCATTGATTTGACTCTAAAATGGAGAGAAAGTGCGTCTAAATGGAGGAAAACTTTGCAGTTATTGTCGATTAGGTAATAGAAATCGTGTTTCGAGTAATGCCTTTCCAGACCTCATATTTACGTAAAACCAGAATTTACATGTAAATCATAAGACGACTAGTTTTGTCATATATTTTGTTTAATAGAGAGAGTGGTATCTGGTTTTCAGGCATTGTATGAGGTGCTGGTTGTTACTGTAACTAGTTTTCTAACTCAAGGCAAACTACAATCACATATAAACCAAATTCTTTTTTCTTATTTCTGGAAAGTTTTCGTTTCACATATTATATTAACCCTAAAATTAATTATGAGTTATATTTTGGATTCAATCGATCATTGAATGCATCGGTCGTTATGTAGAAGAATGAGAGACACGAATCAAATAGAGATCACATAATAAGTGAGATTATGTGCAATCACTTGAATAATAGATTGATTTGCTTTGACATTGAGATACAAGTCATTGGTTCTTATCTATTATTCTTCAGAATATTGTATATTTATTATTAAGAAGTGAAGCACTTTTTATCCGGTTGTATAGTGTGTTGCTAACAATATTGTAGTATTTGTTCAAGAATTAAGAGAGATTTTTAATTAATGTCTAATAAAGTGTTGATGTGTTGGTTACTAAACCCTTATGTTTATGATATGATTTCAATGGTTATAATAAGTATAAAATAAGGGCATTTTAAGGAAGATTTGTTATATTCAATGAATCATTAAATTTAACATAATTATTATATTAAATAAAGGCTTTTGTTCAAACATTTAAAAACTTGTGTGATTTCCCTTTTCATAAAATAATTATAAAACGATTGAATTCATTTTTAATG